AATTTTCAAAGAGAATATCATAAAAATTGGTGACACCTTCCAAGATGGAATGACAGTTATTTGAGCTATTAAAAACATACAAAGGGTAAATCTTCTGACAGAAAAATAATCAGAGATAGCATAAACTAATTCTGTTGTATCTGACCATCAGACATAAATCCTGGAAAATCAAAACCTGAGAACCAAAATCAAGGTGAGCCCATAGGAAAACAATGGACCAAGGGAATTAGGGGATACGTGTTTCTAGTTAAAATAAACGTATCACTCTCTGTACTTAATTTCATGAAGTTAAATTTAATCATAATCTGATTAAAACACATCACTAGATAAGGGTCCTAATGTCAGTCTATGAGCTACATATACACCTGAAATGTGATGCTTTTGCCTAAACTGTATTTTTAGAAGTTCATTCTATTGTTAAACTTCAAGATATTTTACATTGAGAGCCCAGATGTTCTGTTTGCTTTAAAAATTAGATCTAGAGACTAAGCTCAAATTCTTACGTGGCAACAGTCAAGTGTATTTGCCTTTTTTGGAAAGAACATGATTTTCTAGTTCTCATACTCTTCAGTATTACGTATTTCTTCCCAACACTAAAGCTTAGTGTCAGTTCTGTTTCCTCATTTTTACACCACAAGCATTAGTTATAATAGTACTCTTTCTCTGTGTTTCTATCTAGAATAGAAAACTAAGTTAAAAAAGGAGAGATCATATTTCATGTTTCATGTGAACACAAATTGCATGGGGTATTTGTTGAGGTGAAAATGTTAGCTGTTTAATTTAAAGAAAACCTTTAGATCATTGGTCACTATTTTCTGTTATTTTCCATTTCAATGGATTTCTAAGTCTGTGCTCTGTCTCCTAAATTCAATAGTCAAAAAATATTTCAGTTTCAGAGTCACCATACAAAATCTTTTAGTAATTTGGTTTCCTAGCATTCACTTACAGGCCGTGAGTAAACTTAATGCTGCACTAAGTAGGCATTAGCAGTAAATTATCCTGTTGTACAAGAGTGAGTTTGGACAGTATAATTTCATCATATGAAACCTTGGCAATCCTGTGTAGGTTTAAAAACTATACTTCTGTGAAAATGAAGACCAGGTATTAGATTGCATTTATGCTGCTGAACAACCTTCCAGAAACTACCCAGTCTTGCATCTCTCTTCTCTTTCCTCTCATTTCCTTCCTTTCCTTCTTTCCTGTCCTCCCTCCCTCCATCCCTTGCTGTCTCCCACCCTTTCTCCTTTTTCTTTCTCTTTTCCTTTTTAGCTCTAATTTTCTTTCCCCTATTCTCAGCTTTATAACAATAAATAAAAACTACAAATTTAAGGTATACATTTTGATATGTGTGGATACTATATAAATATATAGATGTGAAATAATTACCACTTTCAATCTAATTAACATATCCACAGTGCTACCAATTTTTATGTGTGATGACAAAATATACAGCCTGCTTTTGGGAAATTTCAAGCATACAGTAAAATATTAATTATAGTGTACATGCTGTACAGTTGATCTCTAGAGCTTTTATTCTATTACTGAAATTTTGTACCCTATTTATATATATCCTGCACACTGTGACCATCATTATATTCACCGATTCTACAGGTTCAACTTACCCATTAGTGAGATGAAACTAATATTTTATTTGTCTTCCCATGTCTGACTTAATGTACTTAGCATAGTGTCTGTCAGGTTTTTCCATTATGTCACAAATGGCAGAAACTTGTTTTTTTATGGCTGAATAATATTCCATTCATGTGTGTGCATGTGTAACTATATGTGTGCGGTGCGTAAATATTTGTCTGACAACAGACACTTCAATTGATTCTGCATCATAGGTGTTGTGATTACCTCAATGACCATAGGGGTGCAGTTGTCGCTTCAAAACACTGGTTTCATGTCCTTTAGGTATGTTTTCAAAAATGAGATTACTGGATGTCTTAGTTACGTTTGTCATTGTCAAGACAAAATGCCCAATGCCCAAAGTTAAGGGAGGAAAGGTATATTTACCTCATAGAGGTTTCAGTCCATAATACACTGGCATGTTGAAGAGGGGCAACAGTTCATGGCTGCAGAAGACATCAAAGGCAGCCAGAGAGGGGGAAACAAGCCTCTTTCTGCCCCTTTTGTCTTACCTCCACTGCTGGGATTAAGATGATGCCGAACCAATCAGTGGACTGATCCAGCGGTCACCTATCCTGAATCCCAGCACCCTTACTCCTAGCACTGAACCATGAATTAATCACAAACTGGATTCAGCCACCTCCCAAAAAGCTCTATGACTCCATGAGGCTTTGGGAGACGTCTAGAAATAAACCATAACACTGGATGATATGGTGTTTCCATTGTTAATACCTTGTGGAACTTCCATACTATTTCACATACAGTATAAGTACAGGATGTCCCTTTCTGTGCATTCTTACTGACTTTTAGCTATTGTCTTTTCTGATGACAGGCATTCTAATGGGTATGAAGTGATCTCTCACTGTGGTTTCATTTGCAGTTTCCTGATTAGTGACGCTGAGCATGTTTTCATGTACCTACTGGCAGTTGCTATATTTGGGATCTGAAGTGCTTCACAAAGACTCCTGTGTCAGATCCTTAGACATCATCAGTGAGTGCTGCTTTTGGAAAATGGTGGAACCTAAGAGTTGGGGCCTGCCTAAGAGGAGGAAGTTAGGTCAGTGGGATCATGTCCTTAAGGGAGACACTGAGACCCTGTCTCCTTCATCCCTCCTTACTTGCTGCCCACCGTGAAGTGAGCAGCTTTGTTCTCCAGGATACACTCCCTACCACATTGTTTTGCCTCTCCCCACAGCAGTGGAGCCAATGTACTGTGAACTGAAATCCCCAAATCCATGAACCAAAATAAATCTTTTTCTCATTTGTAACTTTTGGCTGTCACTGTGACAAAGTTATTGACATAGCATTTTTTTTTTCTTTAGAGAAACTATGTGTTCACGTCCTTTGCTCATTTTTAGTTGGGTCATTATTTTTGCTACTGAGCTACTGGAGTTATATATAATGTGCACGGTTTGGAAGTATTTTCTCCCATTGATTAGATTGTTTCTTCACGTGATTAATTCTTTTGCTGGTCAGAATCACTTTTATCTTAACGATACCCTATTTTTTTAATTTAGTTTGCTTGCCTTACCTGTTGTAGTAATATCCAAAATATCATTGTCATGAAGTTTTTTTCCCCTGTTTCTTCTTGTAATTTGATAGTTACTTTTTCAATATTTAAGCCTTAAATCTATTTTGAGTTGATTTTGCATATGGATTGAAAACAGGGTCCAATTTCATTCTTCAGCACATGGTCAATCAATTTCCCCCTTACATTTTACTGAAGGTACTACTTGCCCCATTTTGTGTTCTTAGCAACTGTGCCAGGGATCCAGTGACCATGCATGTGTGGATTTATTTGTAGTATCTCTGTTCTGTACTTGCAGGTTTTTCTTTGGCTAATGCCTGTTTTGATTACTATACTTTCATGAAGTATTAGAAATTAGGTAATCTAGTTTCTTTGGCTTTGTTCTTGTTCAGGATTGATCTAGAAATTCTAGACTTTTATATTTTGATATACGTTTCATGTTTTCTTTTTGTTTCTATGAAAAATTGCATTGGAATTTTAACAGATTAGGCTGAACAGGTCACTTTGTGGATACAATTTTAATTCTTCCTATCACCCATGAACACATAGATATTTATCAGTATATTTGTGTCCTTTTCAGTATCTTCTATTGGTGCTTTACAGTTTAAAATGTAGAGATCATTTCCTTTTTGATTAAATGTATTCTTTTTCATTTGTTTGTTTATTGTTTTGGTACCGGGAATCAAACTCAAGACCTCAGGCTTGCCAGGCAAGCACTGTTGAGCTGTATCCACGGCCCTAAATGTATTCTTAAATATTTTATTTTTGATGTTGAAAAATGTATTATGCTTTTAAATCTTTATTTTGGGAGTTTCAAAAATTATATAGAAATACAACTGATTATCCTTTGGATGTTGTTTTTGTATCTTGTAATGTTGCTAAATTTATTAGTTCAATTTTTTAGCAGAGTTTTTGGGTTTTCTTTGTATATGAGTATGTAATGTGTAAACAGAAAATTTTATTTTTTCTACCTGATTATGTATATTCATTTATCTTGTGTGATGGCTTTGGCTAGAGTCTTCAATACTATTGTGGGTAGAATTGGTGAGAGTCACTCTCCCTATCTTGTTTCTGACCTTAGGGATAAGACTTTCAGCTTTTGATCATTATGATACTATAAATGGACATATTGTATGTAATGTTTATTAGATTGAGGAACATTTCCTTTATAACTACATATATTGAGTTTTTATGATGACATGATGTTACATTTTTAGTATTTTTTCTGTATTCATTATTGTATGATTTTAAACCTTCACTCTGAATGTGACATATATTTAATAAGTTTTACATTTCAGTGGTAGGCTTGATCATGGTGTATATCATGTGACACTGAATATGAGTTGCTACTATTTTGATAAAGATACTTGCATTCCATGTAATATCACATATATTAGCCTATATACTGTTTGCCTTGTATTTATCTGGCCTTGGTGTTAGGATAATACTCCCTCACAAAGTGAGCTTGAAGTTTCTCCTCCTATTGCATTGTTTGGAAGATCTTGAGAATAATTTTTCAAGTGTTTGACCAAATTCACCAGAGAAATTAATAGGTTTCATGGTTTTCTTTGTTGGCAAGGTTTTGACGTTGATTCCATGCATCTCCTTACATATTATGTTATGTTTAGCTTTTCTGTTTATTTGTAAGTCAGTCTTGGTATATTGTGTATTTCCAAGAATTCAGTATTGTTTTAGTTTACATTTCCCTAATGGCCAATGATATTGAGTATTTTTTCATGTGTGTATTGATTATTCACACTTCTTATTCATTTCATTCACATAATTTTAATGATTGGATCTTTTATTTTAGAGACTAATTTTCTGTGTTCTTTATGTATTGTAGATGTGAGTCCTCTGTGGAATTTCTGTCAAAAAATGTTCCCCTTCTGTAAGTTGCCTTTTTACCCTATTGGTTGGTTCTTTTGCTGTGCAGAAACTTTACAATTTAATATGATCTCATTTGTTGTTTCTCAGAACTATTTTCTGTGCAATTAGAATTCTGTTGAGAAAGTTCTTGCCTATACCTGTGATTTCAAGAGTTTTATCTATCTTGTCTTCTATCAGGTTAAATGTGTCTGGTTTGTTGTTGTTGTTTGATATAGTGTCTCAGTGTGCAGTTCAGGCTTCCCTGGACATGATTAAGTAGCCCAGGCTGATCTCAAATTCACAGCAGTCTTCCTGCCTTAGCTTCTCAAGTGCCAGGATAACAGATGTGTGCCACCACACCTGGCAAGTGTTTCTATTTTAACGTTTAGTTCTTAGATCCATTTTGTGTTCAGTTTAGTTTAGTACATTGTGAAAAATACTGGTCTAGATTTAATCTTTTGCATATGGATTGCCAACTTCAAGTCTTGGATTGTGATACCTCCTGCTTTGCTCTTTTTTATGCAGGATTGTGTTTGCTGTTCTGGGTTACTTCTGAGACTACATGAATTTTAGGATTGTTTTCCCCAGTTCTGGGAAGAATGCTGTTGGAATTTTGAACAGGAGTGTGTTAAATCTGCGTATCTATTTTGGAAAGATGGTCATTTAGACATTTCTTTTTTTTTTTTCTCTTTTTCACTTTTTCTTTTTAAGACAAGGTTTCACTGTGCTGTTTAGACTGGCCATGAATTCACTTTGTAGCCCAAATTGAACTTGAACTCGCAGCAGTCTGCCTGGGTCAGCCTCCTGAGTGTGAGTGATGGGATTACAGGCATGTGCACCACACCTAGCCTATGTTTCCATTTTCTGATGTCCTCTTCAGTTTCCTTTTTTCAGAGTACTGTACTTTTCATTGTGGAAGTTTTTCACTTCCTTAGTTAGGGTAACTCCTAGGAATCAAAGGGCTGCTGCGAATGATATTTTTCCCTAATTTCTTTCTCAGTGAAAAAGTATACAGGAACATAATTGATTTTTATGGGTTGATTTTGTATCCCCCTATATTATTGAATCTGGCTTTAATTCTAACAGTCTTTTGGGTGATCTGTGTAGAAAATAACGTCATCTGCAAACGATGATAATTTGACTTCTTCCATTCCAATATATATCTATTTATTTCTTTTTCTTGACCAATTGCTCTTGCTAATGTTCAAGTTGTGTTGAACAGGAGTGGTAAGACAGGACATCCTGATCTGGTTCCTGGTTTTAGAGGGAAAGCTTTCTGTTTTTCCATATTTAATATTAAGTTGGCATTAGGTTTATCATGAATGGCTTTTATCAGACTGAAGTAAGCTCCTTCTATACCTATTTTATTCCTTTTTTTCTTTTAAAGAGAATAATAATAATAATAAAAGAACAGTAGCAAAATACCACTAACATAGACAAAAACAAAACAGAGTGAAAACAATAAAAATGATACAGGGTTTCAGAGCAAAATGATAAGAATTAATAGTGATTGTTATATTACATATTGTTATCCTCATGAAAGTTGCTGAGATTACCAGATGTAAGAATGCAAGATTCATCAAACCATTAAAGACAATAAAAAATAAAAACATCCCAGTACCGGAAAAAAAAAAAAGTACTTGAAAAATAAAAACAAAGTTAAACATTAGAAATGATACAGAGTTCCACTGGACAAGATGGTGAGAATTCACCAGTGGTTGTTACATTGCATATTGTTGTCTTCAAATTAGTTGTTCAGATTACTAGACATAAGCATGAAAAATTCATCAAAAATTAAGGATTAACTATTCCTTTTAATAAACAATTTCATCAATGGTACACTTATCCCAGCTATCCTTCTCTCTCTCTCTCTATATATATATATATACATGCACAGACACATATATATTCTCCCTTCTTTCTTTTTCTCCTTTCCCTCATCCCAGTTGTTCCCTCCTTTGAGCAATTTCTTTCCCTTTCATAACATCTATTGTATGTTTTGGGTTTTAATTACTCTTTCAGGTTCTTACACTAGGGACACAATACAGTGTTTTCAAATGGGGGTCCAATTTATTTCACTTATGAGTATGGTCTCTAGTTGTATCCATTAACCTATAATAGCTTCGTGTTTATCATTTTTTATAGCTGAGTAATACTCCATTGTATAAAAATACCACATGTTTTTATCCATTCTTCAGTTAATGGGCATTTGAGTTGTTTCCAGGATTTAGCTGTAACAAATTGTGCTGCTGTAAACATGGGTGCACAATCATAACAGGGGACTTTAACACCCCATTGTCACAAAGGATAGATCAACTAGACAAAAACTCAGCAAAGAAATAACAGAACTAAAACAGACTTTATTTTCACACTGTTGGTGTTCTTTTTGATGTGCAAAAACTTTTCAACAGGATGAGATCTTGGTTATTGATTCTTTGAAGTATTTCCCATGCAGTTTGGTTTTTGTTCATGAACTCTCTGCTGACCCTAAGTCTTCAAGATTTTTACCTACTTTCACTTCCAGTACATGTAGTGTTTCTGTTTTAGTATTGAGATCTTTACTCCCTTCTTACTTTACTTTAGCGCATGGTGATAGATATGGGTCTAGTTTTAGTCTTTGGCATGTGGAAAGCCAGTTTTTCCAGCACCACTTATTAAAGAGGCTATCTTTCTTCCAGTGAACATGTTTGGCCTCTTCATCAAAGATAAGGTGACTGAGTGTGTTTGTAATTGTGTCTGCATCTTCTAATCTGTTCCATTGATTTTGCGGTCTGTTTTTTTTTTTTTTTCCAGTACCATGCTGATTTTATCATCGTAACTTTGTAGTATAGTTTCAAGTCAGGGGTTGTGATGCCTCCTGCTTTTCCTTTGCTGCCCAGGATTGCTTTTGCTATTCTAGGCCTCTTCTGGTTTCCAGTGAATGTTTTCTCTATCTGTGAGGTACACTAATGGTATTTTAATTGGGATTGCAGTGAATCTCTACAAATTTTCAGACTATGGCCATTTTTACAACATTGATTTTTCCTATCTATGAGCCTTTCCATTTTCTAAAATCCTCTTTGATATCTTTTTTCAAGTACTGCAATTTTCTCGGTATAGATCTGTTACTTTCTTTGTTAGACTGATTTGCAAGTGTTTCATTTTTTAGATGTTATTATTAGAGGTGTGTTTTCCCTAATTTCTATCTGTCTGTTTGTTGTGTACAGGAATGCTGTTGATTTTTGAGTGTTGACTCTGTATCCAGCTACGCTACCTAATTTGGTTATTAAATCTGTAAGCCTTTTGGTGCAGCTTTTGGGGTCTTCTATGTAGACTATCATGTCATCAGCAAAAACGATAATTTCACTTCTTTTCCTATCTGTATTCCTTTTATTTCTCTTTCCTATCTAATTGCTCTGGCTAATATTTCAAGAACTATATTGGATAGGAGTGGTGACAGTGGGCATCCTTATCTTCTTCCTGATTTTAAAGTGAAAGCATTCAATTTTTGTCCATGTAAGATTATGTTGGCCATTAGTTTGCAATAGATTTCTTTTATCAGAGGGAGGTAAGACGGTCTATTCTTATTTTCTGTAGGGTTTTTATCTTGATTGAGTGTTGAACTTTATCAAAAGCTTTTTTCACATCAATGGAGATGATCATGTGTTTTTTGTCTTTGGCTTTGTTCATATAGTGTGTTATATAAAGTGATTTGCATACATTAAGCTATCCCTACATTCCTTGGATGAATCCCACTTAGTCATGGTGTATAATCTTCACGATGATTTGTTGCATTCTGTTTGCTAGTATTTAATCGAGTTTTGCGTCTATATTCTTTGGGGAGATTGGCCTGTAGTTCTCTTTTTTGGTTGGGTCTTTCTCTGGTTTTGGCATCAGGGCAATACTTGACTCCAGAGTTGGGGATAAGTCCTTCCTTTTCAGTTTCATTAAAAGAGTTTGAGAAGAGTTGGTGTTAAATCTTCTCTAAATTTCTTGTAGAATTCAGCTGTGAATCCATCAGGACCTGGGCTTTTCTTCATTAGTAAAGTTTTTATTACATTTCAATTTTTCAGGCTGATACTGAGTACTTCAGGATTTTTATATCTTCTTGATTCAGATTTGGTAATGCCTATGTATCTAGGAATCTGTTCCTTTTCTCTGTGTTTTCCATCCTAAAAGAGTAAAGATTTTCGATGTAGGTATTGATGATCTTCTGAATTTCTACAGGATCTATAATGATTTTATCCCTTTCATTCCTTATTGCATGAATTTGAGTTTTTTTTCCTTTTTTGATAAGGTTGTCTAGGGATTTATCAATTTTATTTATTCTTTCAAAGAACAAACTTTTATTTATTAATTTTTTGTATTGTTTTCTTTTTTTTTTTTTCCTTCCTGTACCAGGAATCAAACTCACCACCTTGTGTTTGCCAGGCAGGCTCTGTGCCCCTGAGCTAAATCCCCAGTACCTGTATTGTTGTTTTAGTCTCCATTGCATTAATTTCTGCTGTGATTTTTATGATATCTTGCCTTCTTTGAGCTTTGGGCTTGACTTGCTTTTCTTTTTCTAAATGCTTGAGGTGCTACATAAGACTGTTTATTTGTGCTTGGGTGTTATTTATTTTCCACTTATTTATGGGGTTTTTGCAGTTTGTTTTGTTATTAATTTCTAACTTCATTGCACTGTAGTCCAATAGTATGCATGGTATAATTTCAGTTCCTTTGTATTTACTTAAGCATGTGTTATGTGCTAGTATATGGTCTATTGTAGAGATTGTCCCATTTGCAGCTGAGAAGAATGTGTATTCTGATGTTGTTGGGTGGAACACTGTGTAAAGGTCTACAAAGTCCATTTGTTGGGGCTGGGGATTTAGCTCAGCGGCAAAGCGCCTGCCTGGCAAGCACAAGGTTGTGAGTTCGGTTCCTGGTACCGGAGAAAAACCAAAAAAAAAAAAGTCCATTTGTTCACAAGTTTGTTTTAGTTCTGTTATTTCTTTGCTGAGTTTTTGTCTAGTTGATCTATCTCTTTGTGACAATGGGATGATA